TCACTCTGTCACCAGGCTGGAGTTCAGTGGCACGATCTTGGCTCACTGCAACTTCTGCCTCCTGGGTTCAAGTGATTCTCCTGCCTCAGCCTCCTGAGTAACAGGGATTACAGGCGCCCACCACCACACCCAGATAATTTTTGTATTTTTAGTAGAGACGGGGTTTCACCATGTTGGTCAGTCTGGTCTCAAACTCCTGACCTCATGATCTGCCTATCTTGGCCTTCCAAAGTGCTGGGTTTACAGGCGTGAGCCACCTTGCGGGGCCCCTGGTAGTGTCTTAATGGGTTTGTTTTCACATTCTAGCCCTTGTACTCAGGCACCAGTTTCTCCAGTTCTTTAATGTTTAACGTATGCATTCATCAAAATTATAGTAAAGGGTTAGTGGAAAATGGACTGTTCTCACTGCTGATGGAAACTTGGACTGTTACAAAGGGGGCACTGAGCCGTGGTTAAATGCTCACAAGGGACATCTTTTCATGGGATCACCATTAAATTGTAATCCCACATGGCAAGTCAGTATAGTGAGACACAGGGTTGCAGCAGAGAACAAGGTTTAATTATAGGGCTGCAGAAAATGGAGAAGGAAAGAAACCTCAAATGTCTCCCAAACTCATCCTTTTATAAGGAAGCCACTCCTCCCATAACAACCTACTTCCTTGATAATGACGATAGCACCTATCTATTCATGAGGGTGGTGCCCCATGACCTAAATACATCTTAAAGGTTCTATCTATCAGCACCTCCATATTGGGGATGAAGTTTTCAACATATGAATTTTGGAGGACTCATTCAAACCATAGCCATAGGCATACCACAGACGCTTGATTTTAAGAATGATGATCAGGTGTGGCTGCCACATATGGAAAGTTAAAATTTCTCTGCATGGTTCTTATCACGCACGGTAACAGCTAACAGTGACAGAGAACTTGCTTGGTGCCAGGTACTGTGCTAAGCACTGTACAGAAATTAGCTCATTTAAAACTCTCGGTAGCCCTCTGGTTATTATTATCCCCATATTACAGATGAAGAAATTGAGGCCTATCACTTAAATAATTTCTCCAAGGTTACACAGAGAAGTAAAGAGCTAAGACAATTTCAGAGTCTGAACTGTGAACCTAAACCACCGTGTTATACTATGTAGACTTACATAGTGACTGCATTTGTGTTCTAACCTTTCAAAGTCAGTACTCCCCTAGTTATCTTGATGACTAATGAACATGTGTATTTAGAATTTTACTTCCTGGAAGTCCTCACTTTTTCAGTCCTGGGAGTTAGTGATAAATATTGTATTTGTCTGTTCTCATGCTGCTGATAAAAACATACCTGAGGCTATGTACTTTATAAAGGCAAGAGGTTTAACTGACTCACAGTTCTGCAGGGTGGGGGAGGCCTCAGGAAACTTATAATTATGGCAAATGGGGAAGCAAACACATCCTTCTTCACATGATGGCGGGAAGAAGTACTGAGCAAAAGGGGAGAAAGCCCCTTATAAAACCTTCAGATCTCATGAGAACTCACTCACTGTCACAAGAGCACATGAGGGTAACCGCCTCCATGATTAGATTATCTCCTGCTGGGTTCCTCCCATGATGTGTGGGGATTATGGGAACTACAATTCAAGGTGAGATTTGGGTGGGTACATAGAGCCAAACCATATCAAATATATTTTCATATATATATGTATATATATGTGTGTATATATATAACTTGTCTCTTCTCACTATTCCTATATTCAATGGTATATTAAAGTTCTTTAATTTCAGCGATAACACTGAGGAAAAACATTTATCTTACAGAGTTTCAGTAATTGTTCTCCTAAACGTCATTATTAATGAAGGTGGCTGGACAGGTTTTTAAATGTGGAAGAATTAAGTTGTTTCCTTGCATTTCTGGTTCAGTTAAAATAAGCATGTTGCTCTCTTTTGGAACAGGATGTCTCGGGCTGTTCCTCTTCCGATCCCCTGTCCTGTTCAAATTGGTACCTTAAGAAATGACTCCCTGGAAGCTCAGCTTCATGAATATGTCAAACAAGGGAACTACGTTAAAGTAAAGAAAATTCTTAAGAAAGGTAAGCACCATGTTGAGATGGCAGATGCATCTTTGTTCACATTTCTGAATAGTGTTCAGAGGAAAAGGGGATATTATAAAGCTATGAATGAGTTCTTGGGGAAATCCAGAAATTAAATGTAGAGATTAGGTGTTCTCTAGCAGTGCCATCAAGAGAGGTGTTAAATCCTTATTTCCAGGTGGTTTTGTTTTGCTTTGTGCTGGGGAAGCACAAGCTCGTCCAACTGCTAGGCTTCTAGGTTTCTCTGAAGTCACCCACCTTTGATTCTGCCTGATTCCTTTCCTTCAAATCTGCTCCATCCATTGAGTTATCTGACACCTTTGGTTGACTGAGGAGACCAGTGTTCACAGCTGTCCCCTTCCCTGCTCTTTACTTCCACTTGGTACCTTTTTTCCAGGGTTTTCTTGCTGGAGCATACAGGCGGACATGGTTCAATGGCTGAAGCAGCCTTCAAAAGAACCAACAAACATGCCCTGTGATTTTGGTCTAAAAAAAAAAAAAAAAAGAACCAACAAACAAAAACCCATATACAAACAGAACCTCTTCTGATGTTTGTCTTCTGATCTAGGGACCCAGGCCTGCTTTTTTTTTTTGCTTTGAGACAGAGTATCACTCGGTTGCCAGATGCAGTGCAGTGGTGTGATCATACCTCACTGCAGCCTCTACTCCAGGCTCAGGTGATTCTCCTGCCTCAGCCTCCCAAGTAGCTGGGACTATAGGCACATGCCACCATGCCTAGCTAATTTTTGTGTTTTTTGTTTGTTTTTTGTAGAGATAGTTTCGCCATGTTGCCCAGGCTGGTCTAGAACTTCTGGGCTCAAGTGACCTGCCCACCTCAGCCTCTCAAAGTGCTAGGATTACAGGTATGAATACAGACCTGCTATTTTCAATATGAGCAGAGGTCCTGCTAGATCCCCCCTCTCCTTTATTAATATTGAAGGGGAGACTTCTGAAACTTCTCTTTGCTGATTTGTGGAACAGTCAGGGTGACCTGGATTTTCTCTACTTCAACAGCATTCCTGAAGACTTCCAGAAGGGTATCCCCAATTTTCCACCTATCCCACTGAATAGTTCCCTCATACAGTTCTCACGGCTGGCACAGTGGATCCCACCTATCTGTAAACCCAACACTTTGGAAGGCTGAGGCAGGAGAATTGCTTGAGGCCAGGAGTTCAAGACCAGTCTGAGACCAGCCTGGGTAACACAGTGAGACCCTGTCTACAAAATTTCTTTAAAAAAATTATCAGTAGTGGCCAGGCGTGGTGGCTCACACCCGTAATCCAAGCACTTTGGAGGCCAAGGCAGGCGGATCACCTGAGGTTGGGAGTTCAAGACCAGCCTGACCAACATGGTGAAACCCCGTCTTTTTTTTTTTTTTAATAAGATGGGGTTTCACCATGATGGCCAGGCTGGTCTTAAACTCCTGACCTCAGGTGATCCACCCACCTCAACCTCCCAAAGTGCTAGGATAACAGGCGTGAGCCACTGTGCCCAGCTGAACCCCATCTTTAAAAAAATAAAATAAAAATTATCGGTAGTTGGTACTACGCACATGGTAGCGCATGTCTGTAGCCCACCACACTAGGAGGCTGAGGGGAGACCCCATCTAAACAACAAAAGAATAATTTCTCAAGCCTTTTCATGTACTACCTCCAGTCAATAGGTGAAGTAGCTCACAGTAAGCTCAAATCATTTACGTGAAAGGTCCTGGGTTTTTTGGTTATTTTTTCCTCAAAATTTTGCATTTTGCTCGATAACATATCCACGTATGTTTTAAAATAAAATGTTGTAGGGGAGTGGGGAGTTGGGGAGAGAGAGCTTGGGGAGAAATGCCAGATATAGGTGATAGGGAAGAAGGCAGCAAATCACACTGCCATGTGTGTAACCTATGCAACAGTCTTGCATGTTCTTCACATGTACCCCAAAACCTAAAATGCAATTAAAAAAAAAAAGTTGTAAAACTCCGCTTCTCAGGCTGGGCGTGGTGGCTCACATCTGTAATCCAAGCGCTTTGGGAGGCAGAGGTGGATGGATCACCTGAGGTCAGGAGTTTGAGACCTGCCTGGCCAACATGGTGAAACTCTGTCTCTACTAAAAATAAAAAATTAGCTGAGCATGGTGGTGTGCACCTGTAATCCCAGCTACTTGGGAGGCTGAGGCAGAAGAATTGCTTGAACTCAGAGGCAAAGTTGCAGTGAGCCAAAATTGCACCATTGCACTCTAGCCTGGGCAACAAGAGTGAGACTCTGTCTCTCAGAAACAAAAACAAAAACAAGGCCGGGCGCGGTGGCTCAAGCCTGTAATCCCAGCACTTTGGGAGGCCGAGGCGGGTGGATCATGAGGTCAAGAGATCGAGACCGTCCTGGTCAACATGGTGAAACCCCGTCTCTACTAAAAAACTACAAAAAATTAGCTGGGCATGGTGGTGCGTGCCTGTAATCCCAGCTACTCAGGAGGCTGAGGCAGGAGAATTGCCTGAACCCAGGAGGCGGAGGTTGCGGTGAGCCG